GAATGGCGATCATTAAAGTCAGGAAACAACAGATGCTGGAGAGGATATGGAGAAATAGGAACACTTTTACACTGTTGGTGGGAATACATTTAGTTCAACCATTGTGGAAGACAGTGTGACAATACCTCAAGGATCTAGAACCAGAAATACCATTTGACCCAGCAATCCCATTATTGGGTATATACCCAAAGGATTATAAATCACATGCACAGGTATGTTTATTGCAACACTGTTCACAATAGCAAAGACTTGGAACCATCCTAAATGCCCATGAATGAGAGACTGGATAAAGAAAATGTGGCACATATACACCGTGGAATACTATGCAGCCATAAAAAAGGATGAGTTCATGTCCTTTGCAGGGACATGGATAATGCTGGAAACCATCATTCTCAGCAAACCTAGCATAGGAACAGAAAACCAAACACCACATGTTCTCACTCATAAGTGGGAGTTGAACAGTGAGAACACATGGACATAGGGAGGGGAACATCACACACTGGGGCCTGTCCGGGGGTAATGGGCTATGGGAGGGATAGCATTAGGAGAAATACCTAATGTAGATGACAGGTTGATGGGCGCAGTAAACCACCATGGCATGTGTATACCTGTGTAACAAACCTACACGTTCTGCACATGTACCCCAGAACTTAAGGTGTATTCACACACACACACACACACACACAAAAAGAATGAATGACTTACAGGAAATATAAGAGCTAGAAGAATCCATAGAACAACACTACTGGGACATAATCAGCAAGATAAAGATTGTCAGAGAATATACTGAACCTGCATGTGTGGACTTTCTGATTCAAATGAATGAGCTATTTAAAAAAAGAAAAAAACAATGGCTGGGCGTGGCAGCCCTCTGCTATAATCCTAGCAGATTGGGAGACCCAGGCAAGGAGGATCCCTTGAGACCAGGAGTTTGAGACCAGCCTGGTCAACATAGCAAGACTTTATTTTTACAAAAAATTTAAAAATTAGCCAGGCGTGGTGGCACATGCCTGTAGTCCTAGCTACTCGGTAGGCTGAGGCAAAAGGATCACTTAAGCCTACGAGGTTGATGCTGCAGTGAGTTACTATCATGTCACTGCACTCCAGCCTGGGTGACAGAGTGAGACCATATTTCAGTAAATAATTAAAAAAAAGGTTCAAGGCAGTTGGAAAAGTTTACCTTGAGTGGGTATTTGTGGTAATTGAGTGATTAGTGGATTCCTAAGTTAAGATAATATTTTTATTTAAAAATACTATATTTTAGAGATACATGCTGAATTATTTATGGATGAAATGATATCATATCTAGGATTTACATATAATCCAGTCAAATGGGGGTGGGGAGATGAGCCATTGTTAATTGTTAAAGCTGAGTAATAGATACCTATTGGTCCATTTATTCCATTATCTATACTTTTGTATATGGTTGAAATTTTCCATAATAAAAAAGTTAAAATATTTAAATTAAATAGTATTTGAGTACATACTAAGTGTTTAGGAGTGTGGTAATTGCTTTGAAGGATAGCATCATAGTATCTAACATATATCAGGAAAAACCAAAGTAGTAAGTTAAATAAATGAGAATTTTGTTTCCTTTTGCAGAAGAGTTAAACATTTTAGTAGATCCAAACCTAGATTCACCAAGTACTTTTATTTTATTATTATATTATACCTTCCATTTTTTTGAACATCTACTATACAGGACTGGATACTGTTTCATCGAATTACTTCAACAGTATGACTGGGTATGATGATTCGGTTCAGAAGAGGAAATTGATCTTCAGAGATTTTCAGTAAATTGTGCAAGTTCACTTAGGTAATAAGTGGCACAGAAGGAATTTGAATTGTCTAAGCCCAAATTTCTTAAATTTAAAAATCCAACATTATTTCTAAATGGAAACCCAAGGATAATACTGTTGTTTCCAATTGCTGTGTATCTTGTAACTTGAATAATACCTGTAATAGTGAAACAGTAACTTAATGAATTGCCTATCAGTAAGCAACATTAGAACAGTGATGTAACTTGAAAATTCTCAGTTGACACTTAAAAACAGCCTTATTTTTCAAGTAATGTTTGAGACATCAGAAAATGTACTTTGTATTCATTGTTTATTTTGAAAATATAACATAAAAAGCTCCAGAGATGATAATATTGATGTCTGATTGTAGCAAACAAAATCAGAAGAAATAGATGTTAAATTCCTAATTTATGCATCATTCAAATTTAAACATAAATCTGTGTATCTTTTAACGAGCTACTTCCCTATTATATTTTATTCTTCAAAGGTTCACTTTATTTTTGCAGTGGATAAAACTTACCAGAACAGATTTCAATAACAAAAGATAATGGGAAAAATGCTTCTCTGTTTCCAGAAATAAATGAGCAGGCAGGAACTTGATTCTCCTTCCTAGGAAAATAAAATCGAAGAATTACTGATACCAGAATAGTAGTACACTTACTTTAAATCAAAATAAGATACCTCAAATTAATGTTTAGAAGTATAACATTTAGCTTCTGTTACTTGAGGATAGGATATTTGTGATTTGAGAAAAATGCCTGTAATTTTGTAAGTAGTTGAATGGTCTCTAGTACTTTAAGTAACTAGTCATTGTTGAGTCCCATTTTTACTCTAACACTTTCTGAGAAATAGCAGACGAGCAGGCAGAAGATAAGTAGCCAGTTGCTAAAATTACTTCAGTCTCAAACCAACTTCAAAGCAGAGTGAACTGTGCAGGTAAGGATACCAGTAAGTAAACGGCAGATTGAAAACATTGGATTTATTTATATTTCTTCAAGTAGTTTTGTGGGAGAAACTCTACTGAATTCATGGAATACCTTGAGCTTTTCAAGCCTGAAAAGTTAGTACAACCTTTTTTTTTTTTTCTTTTCATTTTGCATAGCCTTACCCCTATTGATTTCATCCTGGTCTCTTCCTGACCTCTCCCCAGACTTTTCACTGAGGGGGGGAGTCTGCTTAGACCATTTGCTTTCTCCCCTGATTGTTCATTGAATTTACATTTAGAATTTTTATTTGCAGTATCATTAACATTAGGAGGAGGTCCACTAACAGTGGTGACCAGGAGTATGGTTATGTATAGTTTTTATATGTATACAGTTTATATGTATGGTAAGACCACAATTTTCTAAGGTCCTAAAATATGTAAAAGTAATATAGTGGATGCCTTCTGTATCTCAGTGACTATAGCATATTTAATTAAAATTTTAACTCAGGAAATATTATTTCCTTTAATCCAACATTATATATAATTATAATTTATAAATTATAAATATATAGTACATATATACATAAGTATGTAATTTTATATATGTAATTATATATGCAATTATACATATATAATTTTTTTTTTTTTTTTTTTTTTTGAGACGGAGTCTCGCTCTGTCACCCAGGCTGGAGTGCAGTGGCCGGATCTCAGCTCACTGCAAGCTCCGCCTCCCGGGTTCACGCCATTCTCCTGCCTCAGCCTCCCGAGTAGCTGGGACTACAGGCGCCCGCCACCTCGCCTGGCTAGTTTTTTGTATTTTTTAGTAGAGACGGGGTTTCACCGGGTTAGCCAGGATGGTCTCGATCTCCTGACCTCGTGATCCGCCCGTCTCGGCCTCCCAAAGTGCTGGGATTACAGGCTTGAGCCACCGCGCCCGGCCACATATATAATTTTTTTTTAGATGGTAGTCTCACTCTGTCGACCAGGCTGGTGTGTAGTGGCACAATCACAGCTCACTACAACCTAGAACTCCTGGGCTCAAAGAAGCCTCTCACCTCAGCCTCCTGAGTAGCTGAGATTACAGGTGTGCACCACCATGCCCAGCTTTTCTTTCTTTCTTTCCTTCTTTCTTTCTTTCTTTCTTTCTTTCTTTCTTTCTTTCTTTCTTTCTTTCTTTCTTTCTGTCTGTCTGTCTGTCTTTCTTTTCTTTCTTTCTTTTCTTTCTTTCTTTCTTTCTTTCTTTCTTTTTCTTTTTTTCTTTCTTTCTCTCTCTCTCTCTTTCTTTCTCTTTCTTTTCTCTCCCTCCCTCCCTCCTTCCTTCCTTTTCTTCCTTCCTTCCTTTCCTTTCCTTCTTTCTTTCTCTCTTTCTCTTTCTTTCTTTCTTTCTCTTTCTTTCTTTCTTTCTTTCTTTCTTTCTTTCTTTCTTTCTTTCTTTCTTTCTTTCTTTCTTTCTTTCTTTCTTTCTCTCTCTCTCTCTCTCTCTCTCTTTCTTGCTTGCTTGCTTTCTTTCTTTCTTTCTTTCTCTCTCTCTCTCTCTCTCTCTCTCTCTCTCTCTCTTTCTCTTCTTTTCTTTCTCTCTTTCTTTTTTTTTCTTTCTTTCTTTCTTTTCTTTCTTCCTTTCTTCTTTCAACAGGGCCTTTTTCAACCTGGTCTTAAAATCCTGGCCTTAAGGGATCCTCCCGCCTCAGCCTCTCAAAGTGCTCAATTGCAGGGTAAGCCACGACACCTGGCTCAACATTGTTTCAGAATTCTCAATCTTCATTATTTTTACAAGAGCTTTTACTAAATCAGTTGTGACATAGTCACTAATTTTCAACACTATACTTTTACCTTAATTAACTGTAGCCCATTTTTTTCTTTCAGTTCTACAGATTCCTTTTCAGATAGAGATACGTTTTTAATATCCAATGTTCATTTAAAAAGATGACTAATTCTGATAAGTTTTATTCATGTATTACTTTACTGGTTGTTTTTTGTTTTTGTTTACTACATGTACATGTTGTATAAGTTGCTAGAAAAATTATCACTTGCCTCAGATTTTATTTAACCAACATATGTAATAGTTTTGATTTACTTTATCTGTAGATTGGAGGCAAAAACGAGTAGTCACTTAGACTGATAAGATGGTTGCTTAGCCAGTGAGAGGGATTTCCTGAGATCACTAGATTCGAATGTATCTGATAAAGCAAGTGTTTTTGTTATTCGTTGAGTCTGCCAGTGGAATTCTGAAGTTGATACAACTTGCTTGTTCTGTGTGCCCATAGCTAGGTAGATGTATAAATTGTTCTCTCTAGCCTCTGACTACTTTAATTTCATCCTTGCACAGGGGCCACGCTAATCTCTGTATCGTTCTAATTTTAGTATATGTGCTGCTGAAGCAAGCACTACTTGGATTTCATTCAGTAGAATCTGCTATGCTGGTAGCCTGTTTTTTTCTTTGTTGTTGTTGTTGTTGTTGTTATTTACCCCTCCTTGCACAAGAGCACCTTGAGCTCTTTAGTGTTAGAACAGAGTATTTCTGAGTTGGATTTGTGACCTTTTTGACAAAGGAAGCAATGAGACAAAGTGATGTGGCTTATGAATTCAACAGTAAATATTGGGTTGGTGCAAACCTTGTACTTGTAGATATTGTGGGTATTATATCTCTTTATTAATGTGGTTTAAATACCATTGATTTTGGTTCTTCATAGGTTAGGATGGGAAACATTTAGAAGAGAATTGACTTAATTTGTGATATATAAATTTATTTAATGATTCTGAGATCTTGATATGAAAAGAATCTTTAATTTTTCTCATTTATATCACATACATGATTTTATTTTTTGCCTTTGCTTTTTTCATATTCTCTTTAATTTTGATTTATCTTGGTCAGTATAAGAATATTGCCTTCTTTATGCACATTGCCTTCATTTATTTTTGAACATATATTTCCTATTCCTGGTACCTAGATTTTTCAGTTGTTCAATCCTGTGTATTTATTCAGTAAACATTTTCATTGACTTCTGTGGTATATAGGGTAGGAAAAACAGCATCCACCTACTCAAGAGAAGAAACTGTAGAGTGGATCTTTTAATTCATGCTGTTAACTTCTTTAAAACTAAAAAGTTAAAGTGAATACATTTTTATGTTAGAAAGTTAAAAGTATGTAAATAAGTTTAAAGAAGGAAGTAAAAATCATCTGCAGTATCTTTGTTATTTAGTTTTCCAGACTTTCTTCTTTGCATGTGTGTATTAAAAATACTATTTTTATTACCAGTATATATATGTGTGTGTATATGTATATGTACATGTATATGTATGTGTGTGTACACACATACACACACACACACACACATATATATTAAAAAAAAAAAGAGAGAGAGAGAGACACAGACAGACAGACAGACAGAGATAGGCTCTTGCCCTGTTGCCCTGAGTGCAGTGGCGTGATTGTAGCTCACTGTAGCCTCAAACTCCTGTGCTCAGGCGATCCTCCCACTTCAGCTTCCTGAGTAGCTGAGTCTACAGATGTGCATCACAATGCTTGGCTAATTTTTAAATTTTTTTATAGAGATGGAATCTCGCTCTGTTGCCATAGTTGGTTTTCAACTCCTGGCCTCAAGGGATCTTCCTGCCTTGACCTCCCAAAGTAGTGAAATTACAGGTGTGAGCCACTGCACTTGGCTGTGTTTTTGTTTTTTTGTTTTCATTTAACCGCTACATGTAAATGTTGTATTTTAGTGGCTGTTTACTTAGAAAAATCATCACTGGCTTCAGGTTTTATTTAATAATTATATACAGTAGTTTTGATTTATCTGTAGATATAAATAGTAGAATCACACTCTGTAGGGTTTTCTGATTTTTTTTTTGGTTACAGATATCAGGCTCTAGGGCAGTGGTTAAAAATTGTCTGGAGGGCTCTAGTTAGGTATACTGTTATAGTATTTTTCTACAATATTTACATGAGATGATGATTATAGAATGTATAATAATGAAAGGTCAGTGATCCAGTGAAAGCATAGGCTGAGATTATATATTTGTTGAAAGCAGTTTTCTACATTAATAAACATTACATACTTTTCAAACTTGAATAGCAGAAAGTATACTTATAATCTTTGCTTATTACAGTGAAAGATACAGGACTCAAAAACAGAAGACCATGTCAGTTGAATTTTGAGAGTTCTCATTCATACAGTTATGAAATTTCCACTTACTGTCACTTATTAAGAGCACTGGAAATGACATGTTGAATTGTCTTTTGATCTGATTTTATATGTACTTACTTTGTAATCCTTGTATTAATGTGATGAAAGAAGAATATGAATTTCTGTTGTAATTGTTAATTTGCCATACTTCACATTCATGGAAGGAATTCAGATAATTAGAAAATAACTTAATGGCTTAATAGGGACTTCTTATTTTTTAGATTAATACTCTCTTTTTAAGAATAATAAAAATTACAGAATGATTATGTTTTATAAAAGCCAGAGATCAAAGATTTTTTTTCAATTTTTCTGTAATCACGGTAATGAAAACATTTTATGATTCAGGGACAATAATGATGACAATGACTATAGTTTATTGAGGACTTTGTACTGTGTACTACTATAGTTTCATTATATGCATTGTTTCTATTTTATACATTAACATCATAAGGGTATTTTTTTTTCTATTTTAGAGATTACCATACTGAGACTCAATTTAAGTTGCTTGTTGTATGGTCCATTTTTATGCTGCTGATAAACACATACCTGAGATTGGGTAATTTATAAAGAAAAAGAGGTTTAATGAACTCACAGTTCCATGCGGCTGGGGAGGCCTCACAATCTTGGTGGAAGATGAAAGGCATGTCTTACGTGGCAGCAGACAAGAGAAAGAATGAGAACCAAATGAAAGTGGTTTCCCCTTGTAAAACCATGAGATCTTTTGAGACTTATTTACTACCATGAGAAAAGTATGGGGGAAATCACGCCCATGATTCAGTTATCACCCACTGGGTTCCTCCCACAACACATGGGAATTATGGGAGTTACAATACAAGATGAGATTTGGGTGGGACACAGCCAAACCATATAATTCTGCCCCTGGCCCCTCCCAAATCTCGTGTCCTTACATTTCACACCAGTCACGCCTTCCCAACAGTCCCCCAATGTCTTAACTCATTTCATCATTAATTCAGAAGTCCACAGTCCAAAGTCTCATTTGAGATGAGGCAAGTCCCTTCTGCCTATGAGCCTGTAAAATCAAAAGAAAGTTAGTTAACCTCCTGGATAGCTGTTCCAAATAGGAGAAATTGGCCAAAATAAAAGGGCTACAGGCCCCATGTAAGTCCAAAATCCAGTGGGGCAGTCAAATTTTAAAGCTCCAAAATGATCTGCTTTGACACTGTGTCTCACACCTAGGTCACACTGATGCAAGAGGTCGGTTCCCATGGTCTTGGGCAGCTCTGCCCCTGTAGCTTTGCAGGGTGTACAACCTGCCTCCTGGCTGCTTTCACAGGCTGGCATTGAGTGTCTGAAGCTTTTCCAGGCTCACAGTGCAAGCAATTGGTGGATCTACCATTCTGGGGTCTGGAGGACAGTGGTCCTTTTCTCACAGCTCCTCTAGGCAGTGCCCCAGTGGGGGCTGTGCATGGGGTCTTCAACCCCGCATTTCCCTTCTGCACTGCTGTAGCAGAGGTTCTTCAGGAGGGCCCTGCCCCTGCAGCAAATTTCTGCCTGGACATCTAGGTGTTTTCATACCTAGGTATGAAATCTAGGTAGAGGTTCCCAAACCTCAGTTCTTAACTTTTGTGCACCTGCAGGCTCAACACCATATGGAAGCAGGCAAGGCTTGGGGCTTGCACCCTCTGAAGCCATGGCCCAAGCTGTATCTTGGCCCCTTTTAGCCATGGCTGGAGCAGCTGGGACACAGGGCACCAAGTCCCTAGGCTGCACACAGCAGGGGGGTCTCTGGGCCTGGCCCGTGAAACCATTTTTCCTCCTAGGCCTCTGGGCCTGTGATGGGAAGGACTGCCACAAAGATCTCTGACATGTCCTGGAGACATTTTCCCCATTGTCTTGGCGATTAACATTAGGCTTCTTGTTACTTATGCAAGTTTCTGCAGCTGGCTTGACTTCTCCTCGGAAGATGGGTTTTTCTTTTCTATTGCATGGTCAGGCTGCTAATTTTCTGAACTTTTATTCTCCGTTTCCCTTATAAAACTGAATGCTTTTAACAGCAACCCAGTCACATCTTGAATGCTTTGCTACTTAGAAATTTCTTCTGCCAGATACCCTAAATCATCTCCCTCAACTTCAAAGTTCTGCAAATCTCTAGGGCGGGGCAAAATGCCACCAGTCTCTGCTAAAATATAGCAAGGGTCACCAGTACTCTAGTTCCCAACAAGTTCCTCATCTCCATCTGAGACCACCTCAGCCTGGATTTCATTGTCCATGTCATTATTAGCATTTCGGTCAAAGCTATTCAACAAGTCTCTAGGAAGTTCCAAATTTTCCCACGTTTTTCTTCTGAGCCCTCCAAACTGTTCCAGCCTCTGCCTGTTAACCAGTTCCATAGTTGCTTCCGCATTTTCAGGTATCTTTACAGCAGTGCCCCACACTACTGGTACCAATTTACTGTATTAGTCTGTTTTCATACTGCTGATAAAGACATACATGAAACTGGGTAATTTATAAAGGAAAGAGGTTTAATTGACTCACGGTTCCACGTGCATGGGGAGTCCTCACAATTACAGCAGAAGATGAAGGAAGACCAAAGGGACATCTTACATGGCAGCCAGCAAAGAGAGCATAAGAACCAAGCGACAGGGGTGCCCCTTATAAAACCATTGGATTTCGTCAGACTTATTCACTAGCATGAGAACAGTATAAGAGAAACCACCCCCATGATTCAGTGTCTTCTACCAGGTCCTTCCCACAACACATGTGAATTATGGGAGCTACAATTCAAAATGAAATTTGGGTGGGGACACAGCCAAACCTTATCACTTGTCTAAGACCACACTATTTGTAAATGACAGTTGATATTTGAGTCTAAGCTTGTTTGACTTCAAAATACAGTACCTCCATTTCTGTTTTTTCTGGTTTTATAAGAACAGCTTTTTGAAAGTGATTTTTATTCATATACCTTGCAGTGGCGATGATGTATTTTTAAGATAGCCATTTTAACTTTTTTATAGAAATATCATTTAGCTTTTTTGAACAGTTCAAAGTTAGATCTCCCTTTGAATACATGTGTTTAATGAAGCTAAATCTACTCTAACATGAAATGTTCAATTTTCTATTCAAGTAGACCTTTTCTGTTATGTTTAAAGTTACCTGTAGAGAGTCATGTTAAATTACTTGGATTCTTTGTTTTTGATGTTTTAATGAAATAAAATTGCCGTGGTATGTATAAGACTTGTT